TCTTGATCACCCTCTTAACTGTCCATCCTAAAATGTGAAACCCAGAACTGAGCATAATATTTCAGGTGTGGTATGATCAAAAACCAGAATACAATGTCCCTAGTCCTTGAGTTTTTGCCTCAGTCCAAGGACTCTAGGATGAAATTAGGTTTTTTTTTTGATTTCCATGTAACACTGTTGATTCATATTGGGCTTTTAATATCTCAGAACCCCCAACTCTTTTTCACAGAGATTGTTTAGTCATGTTACCCCAGTTATATCTGAACACAATATTCTTTTACCTATGGTAAATTATTAGTAGACATTTATTGAGTGATACTTTATGTATTTTATAGAAATGCCATATTTTGAAATATATTTTATTTGTGTGCATGTCTTATCACCCCTACTAGATTATAATATTCATGAAGATAGACACAGAGTCTTAATTATATTTTATTTTTATTGCCCCTCTTGCCTTGCACAGGACTTTACACAGGGATGATACTTAATAAATGTTTGTTAGATGGCTTATAGAAATAATTTTAAGCAGGACCAGATCTGGTTCCAGTACTGTTTACCACCCCTGTCCTTTTCCCAGGAACAAACTGTATTTCATACTGTGTACTTAATTTTTCATCTGCTACTCACTCTAACCTCTATAGCTAGCAAATTTTCTCCACCCTATATTAATTGATTACTAGCCACAAAGGAGAAAACTATCCCCAGCTCCAAATTCCTGTTCTCTCGTTCTTCTCCTCAACCTTACCCCACTAAAACCCATCTACTGTCTTCTGGAATTTCCATTTTCCTAGACCTCTTTCTCTCACTTTCCTTCCATCCACCAGCTCCCATTAATAATACCTTACCCTTTTTTTACAGCACTGGCTTTGCCCAGACCTCTCAATACACTTGTCATTGAGGAGGTATTGGAATACTCCTTGCCCCTGTAGCCACTTCCAGACTCTCCATTTAGCACCATCATTCGGCAACCTCTCTTTATTTGAAGGTCATAATGTCAAAAATTTCCATCCAGTCCAGATGACTATTGTATACCAGACCCCAAGTTATTCTCCCTCCTATCTTGAGAAGTACCTTACCTAGCTCACCATCTTTCCCTTGTCAACTGCTGCCCTTATAATAGGGGACTTCAACATCCATACTGATTCTCCTTCAAACTCCATAACTTTTATTCTCTAATACCATGATCTATTCCTTTATTCCACCTCAGCCACATACAGGGATTTTCACATACTGCATCTCAGCATTACCCATGAGTGTTGCAGTTCCCTAATTTAAAACTCAGGCATTCTTCTATCCAACCATAGCCTGCTATCATTTTATCTCTCCCTATGTCTTGTCCTTCATAAGCATGTTCTTCACCCCCAAGGAGAATTCCAGTCTCTACTGCTCTCTAGTACTTACTCAGGCTAGTACCCCTGCTCTGACTTCACTTCGTTCCTTCTGGAATCTTAATCCAGTAGTTAGCCAATCAGCTCTTAACTGTCTTCTGTTCTCACTTCCCTTTCTCCCCTTGCCCTCTTGATATGCCTTGCCGGACCTTAGCCTTTGCTTATTCCAGGCCTTTCATGTCATCTGCTCCTATTCAACAGTACAGAGCTGAAGGAAGTCATTATACATTATAAATTCATTTTATCCAACTTCAAATTGAGCGCTCACTGTAGCAAGGCAGTCTTTTATTCCTTCTTTAAGTGCTAGGCATTATGTTAGGCATAAATGATACAAGTACAAAGAATGAAACAGCCCCTATTTGTTAGGAGTTTGCATTCTAATGGAGGACAAGTACAAACAAAAATATATATAGCATAAATATAAAGTAATTCAATAAAATAAGTATGTGAATGTGTATGTAATCATTAAATACTAAAGTGAAAGTTTGGGAGGAAAGAGAGATCACTAGTTGAAGGATTAGGAAAAGCTTTATGTAGATGATGGTACCTGATTAATCTTAAAAGAAGAGAACTCTTTGAGGCATAGGTAAGGAGGTGACTGTACTCCAGGCATTGAGCTGAGAATGGCAAGTGCAAAAGGTGTAGAGATGAGGTAAAAGTGTAGTTTCTGAGCAACAGAGAGAAGAAAATCAGTTTGACTGAATTGGAAAGAGGAGCTGGTGGGGAGGGGGATTTGGAAAGATTGGTGACTATGGTAAGTAGGGCTTTAAAAGCAAAGCAAGAAGACTTTGTATTTTAACTGAGACAAGAGGAAAATTGAGGAAAATTGAGTAGAGGAGTCACCTGCAAAGTAAAATTACTTTGACAGCAATGTATAGGATGCTTGGGAGTGGCAAGAAACTTGGAGCAGAGAGACCAATTAGTTAGTTATATAGATAATGAAGGCCTAAACTCATATTGTGACTGTGTAAGTAGAGAGAAGGGGTCAGGATGTGAAAGATGTTGCGAGAGTGGAAACAAGATTTGGCAACTTGATTGGATATGTGGCATGAAGATGGAGAATGAGGAGCCCAGGATGATAACAAAGGTTACCAAGCTGGGAGACTGGAAGGATGTTGATGCCTTTGACAGAAATAGGGAAGTTAGGAAGAAGAGAAGGTTTGAAATAAAGATAGTAATTTCAGTTATAGATATATTGAGTGGGGAAGAGAGTAGGACTGGTTATCAATAGGAGAGTTAACCTGCATAATTGTGAAGATAGTTAAACCCATGGGAGTAGGGAGAGAAAGAGATTTTTATTAAGCACCTACTATGTACCAGACACTATGCTAAGTATTAAGAATATAAAGTTTAAAAAAAAGTCCTTGTTCACAAGTAACTTGCAGTCTAATGGAGACAACATGCCAACATCTATATACAAAGGATTTATATAGGATAAATGGGAGGAGAGAGTTCAAGTTGAATGCTTTCAATTTTCTCAGTAAGGAAATGATGTACTCTAGTTGAGACAGAGGAAGAATTATGGAGAATTTGAAGAGGGAAGAGTTTTTGAATAGCTTTTGTGGGGAAGGAGGTAGAGAATTAGGAAGGAATAAAAGGAATGCCTTTCTGAAGTGGGGACTCAGTTGAGGCTGGTCAACATACATTTGTAATGTAATCAGTCATCATCATGCTGGCTTGCTGTGTTCAACTGCTTCTGAGTAAGAAAGGTCAGGGAGGGGAATGGTTGGAATAATTCAGGGCTGAAGTTTGGTAAAAGAAGAACAGTGATAGTATGATAGGAGAAGAGGATATGGATTCAAGCTAGATACTAAATTTGAGAAAATTTATAGTGGAGCATATAGTATAGTTACCATGATTTGAGTTGAGTTGGAATGTCCTGGACAGCCTCCTTTCCTGGACCTCACTCCTGACTGATGACTTCCTCTCCCAAAGCACTCTTTCAGGAAAACCTCACCCATGCTTCACTTTACTCCTTTGCCTACTTCCCAGTCTCCTTTCTAACTGCCTTGCCCACTTGTATACCCTTTCTCTGATACTCTTTGGCCCCTGGGGGTGGTTATTTCCAAGTTCCAGAGCTTTGAACTGTGGTCAAATCAATTCAGTTATGATCTCCTGGATGGGATGTGTGAATACCCTGTACCTCCAGAGACTCAGGTCTTTAGGGTTTAGGGTCTTTCTGGACCAAAGGGACCTTCCCTGGCCACTACTCTCTTATGTGTGTAGTTTTCCCCAGTAGTATATAAGCTCCTTAAGGGATGGGACTATCTTTATGTTGTTTGTATACCTAGAGTTTGGCCCAGTGCTTGGCTCATAGTCAGTGCTTAATAAGCATTTCTTCATTCATTTTTAATTCATTCACTAAAGTTCAGATTCCTCTCTTAGCCATTTAAGCTCCTTCATAGGCTGATAGCTCCATCTTTCTTTTTTTTTCTCTTTTAAAATTTTCTTTTTCATTATGAAACTAAGAATTATCAACATCATAGCTTCTACAGGATGACTTTCCAGGTTCCTACTAAACAACATCCTTATAACAAATATTAATAGTTGTCTCAGTCTGCAAAAGGTGACCGTCAGAAGATTTTGGGAGGCTCTGTTAGCCTGCACTATCTCCACCCTACCCCAACCTATTTTCTGACTTTATCTCACATGTCTCCTCCTCAGGTACTCTACTATAAAACTAGACCTTTCTATCACCGTCATGTTTCCCACTGTGCTACCTCTATGACCCTGGAATACCTTATTTAACTCTTTCCTCCATCTCTTCTGTTAACATCCTGTCCTTCATTGTCTAGCTCAAATACTACCCCTTTCGTGTTGCCTTATATGATTTTTTTCTCATGTTCTGTCTCTTTGATACTCTTCTTCTGCACTTAACATAGCAATTTGCTGGTAAATGTTTAACATCCAGCTTTCTGGGGAGAAAATATATGCTCAAGACACATTTTTAAATTTAGTCTACATGATTAACATTTTCATCATTATTTAAATCTAGATAGTAAGCAAAACAATAAATCAAGCCCTGCCCTTTATCATTTATCAATTTCCACACTAAAAATTTAACAAGTGAGAGCCAATTCAAGTGGACTCCAGCACACACCTGACCTAAACACATAGTAGCACTGAGTTGCCCCCCTGAAGCACTAATACATTTTAAAAGTATCTCGGTCTAATCATCTCTGCTAGAGTATAAGCTCCTAGTAGGTATAAAGTAGGAAGAAAGTGGAAGTCATAGGATCTTTAGGGCTGGAAGGGACCTTCAAAATCATCTAGTTTGGCTCCCTCATTTTACAAATGAAGAACATGAGGCCTGGAGGAGGGGGGGGAGATTGACTTGTGGTCTCATAGATTTGAACTAAGATTTGAACCCAGATCTTCTGACTCCAAATCCAGTATTCATTCCACTATACCATGTTACCTGGCTAGTGTCCTTGCCTTATTTTAATTTCTGGTTTTCACATAAGATTATCAACAAGTTGATCCAGAGGAGTTGAAAGAAAATTATTTTAGGAAAGTTTTAGAGCCTCAGGCATACTGTTGTGGGGAAGTATGGAATGTTCTAAGTAGAAACTTGCTTTCTGAGTGACCTATTTTCTCTCTACTTTTCAGTGATATGAAGCCAGAGAAGAGAGTTCCTTCACCTGATATTATAGTGTTATCAGACAATGAGCCTTCAAGCCCTAGAATGAATGGCTTAACAAAAATACCACTAAAAGAGACCAACACCGAAGCCCTCATGGTGAGTTTGGTGTTTTAATGTCTTCTCTAGTTCTACCTGTTAAAAAGTATCAAAACGCAGCGCCTAATTATTTTGATGACATTAAACTGGAACTTGGAGCCACACAGTTCAAGAACTATTTCCAAAACTGTTCTCACTTGGTCATGAATATGTCACATCTGACAACTTGGAGCACCTTTGGTGCCAGGATTAAAGTTCTCTTGAATTGTGTATAAGAGTCCATTTTGATCTAAAAAGAGAAAGACACAGCTCATGTTCACAAGGAACAATTAGATGTAATTTATTGATGTTAAAATAAAAGGTATATTAAGGACACATGAAAGTCTTTGACTTAGCCATTCTGGTTCTTTTTGTTCTACCTTGTAATAGGTAATAACCAACATCTATATAATGCTCTAAGGTTTATAAAACATTTGACAAATATTATGTCTTTAAATCCCCACAGCAATCCTGTAAAGTAAGTGTTGTTGTTATCCCCATTTTACAGATGAGGAAACTAAGCTTAGCTGAGAGAGGTTTAGTGACTTGCCCAAGGTCACTTAGCTCCTGAGTGAAGCAGGATTCGACTCCAGCATTCTAACCACTATTTCACCTAGCTGCCTCCTTACACAGTTGAGTTCAATCTAGAAGCCTAGTCACCTCTTCAAAGACTACACAATAACCTTAGTGACTCCAGAATGTTGGAATTTGTACTCTATCTTTGGGTAAGCAGGACCCTAGGTACCTTTGAATACACTAAACGTGAATAAGCTGGATTAAGATTGCATATAGGGACTGGTAAAATTCCTCTGATGCTCAGTATATCGTTCTGTATCAAATTTTTTGTTAGTCTACCTCACCTCAGGAAAGGGCCTAATCTGACTAGACTGCTTGAAGTCAACATGCTTTTATTAAGGCCTTACTATGTACTAGACACCATGCTAAGCACTAAGGATATTAACAAAAGGTAAAAAATAGCTTCTGCCCTTAAGGAGCTCACAGTCTAATTTGGGAAGACAGCATGCAAATAACTATGTATAAGTTATGTAAGGATATACTTGTGTGAATTCCAGGTATGGGGGATAGCCAGTGAGAATGTAGAATATGGAATATCATATTCAAGGAACAGCAAGGAGGCCAGAGATACTATAGGAGATTATGAGGGGAATAAGAAGACTGGAAAGGTGGGAAGAGGCTTTTAAGAAGTGAAACAGGATTTTATATTTTATTCTGAAAGTATAAGGATCTGCTGGAGTTTATTGAATGAGGAAGTAATGACATGGTCAGACCTGCACTTTAAGAATATTTCTTTGACAGCTGAATGGAGGATGTACTGGAGTAGGGCTGTTGAAGTAGTCCAAGTGTGAGATAATGAGAGCCTGCGTCCTTTGGAGGAGAGGAGGGGATATAGATGAGGGATGTTATAAAGGTAGATTCAACAAGACTTCACAACAAACAGAATGTGGAATTGGGAGGGCTTGGGAGAGGACAAAGAAGAGTCAAGAATGACATCTAGGTTATGAGCATTTAGCACAGTGCCCAGCACATAGTGGGTGTTTATTGATTGATTGATGACTCAGATGCAGGCGGTGCCCTCAATAGAAATAAGAAAATTAGGAAGAAGGGAAGGAAAGATGAGTTTAGTTTTGGGCGTATTGAGTTTAAGATCTCTATGGGACATTCAATTCAAAATGTCCAGTAGGTAGTTAAAGAGGTAAGACTAGAGGTCGCAGAGAATTTAGGGCTGGATATGATAATCATCTACCTAGATATGATAATTGAATCCATGGGAGCCAATGAGAATTCCAATGGAAATACTCTGGAGGGAAGAGAGGACCTGGGACAGAACCCTGGAGCACATCCATAGTTAACAGGCAAGACCTAGGTGAAGATGCAGCAAAGGTATGATCAGCCAAATAAGAGAACCACCAAGAGAGGGCAGTGTCAGGAAAACCTAAAGAGTAGAGAATATCAAAGAGGAAAGGATGATTAACAGTATCAAAAGCCACAGAGAGGTCGAGAAGGATGAGAATTAAGGAAAGGCCGTGAAATTTGGCTATTAAGTGATGAGCATTGGTAACTTTGGAGAGTATTATAGTTTCAGTAGACTAGAAGTTAGACTGCAAAGGGTTAAGAAGAGAATGAGAGGAAATGAGTAGAGGTACCAATTGTAGATGACTTTCTCAAGGACTTCAGCTGCAAAAAGGAAGAGAGATATAGGATAATAGCTGCCAGGCATGGATGGAACAAGTGACAATTTTTTGAGGGAGACATGGGCATGTATGTAGGTAGGCAGACAGCAGGAAAGTAGCCAGTAGGCAGAGATTGGAGACTAGGTAGAATAGGTATGATACAGAGGGGCAAACTGCTAGAGAAGATGGGACAGAATGGGGTTACTTGTACATATAGAGAGGGTGCTCCTTAACAAGGAGAAGGGTCTCCTCTTTATGGGAAATGAAGAAGAAGGTGTTATTAGAGGAAGGAATCTGAGTTTAATGTGATAGAGAAGGAAGAGGAGAAAGCTCTCTCAGATGGCCTACTGAATAGTAGATATATGTGGAGAGAAGTAGTAATGTGAAAGAAAGGTAGGAAGAATCCTGGTTAAGAAGGACTTTAAAAATCAAACCCATGATTTTATTTTTTTATTCTAGAGATTATTGGGAGCTACTGAGTTTACTGAATGGGGGAAAAGAAGTGACAGGATCAGACTTGTGCTTAGGAAGATCACTTTGATGGCTGAGAGAAGAGATGTGAGGAAGGGAGACAACCAGCAGGCTACTTCATTCGTTTATTGCTATTTTTTTCATCATTATTTTGAAAAATATAAGATGGTCATTGAATTCCCTATGTATTCACATTGGTATCATCAATCATCTATACCTTTTTTTTTCTCTAATAAGAATCATTTGTGCCTTAAGACTTTTATTCTTGAGAGTTTCCCCATCTTTCTTGGGTCGACTTCAGTGAAAAATTATAGGCCACATGATATCATCCACTCCATCTTTTCTCAATACTCTCTAAAGTTTGTTCACCTGAATCTTAGGTTATATGTCAGATTATGCCCTGCCTTCACCTTCAGCTCTCTTACAGACTCCAAAATGCAATTATCATTTCCTACTTTAATTCTGTAAATGATTTCTCCTCATTGATCATAGTTAGGTTCAAAGAAATAGTTCCCTTCATCACTTCCTCTACCATTTGAAAATATGAAATTATGAGTAGGGCAGGTCAAGAACTTATCAGTTGCTCTTGTCTCCAGATGTCTGTATAATTAAAAGTTTTCCCTCACCACTACTATTTCTACTACTACATACACACATATTACTTCCTCCTAAATTTTATGTGTTTACTAAATTTTTCCTGTCTCTCTTTTTTCCCTTGTGGCTGAATTACTTATAGTATATTATCAGGATAGTATCACTTTCGTTTTTTTCTCCATTTTTTCTCATTAAAACACTTGATTTCCTGCTTTTGTCTCTAATTCGTGGATTTTCTCATGTAAGTACATCTTTTTTAAAGAGGACCTATTTTTGTAGATTATCCAATATAATCAAACTATATTCTTGGGGAACATAACCACGTACACACAGTTTGATTTCTTTTGATTTTACATTGTCTTCATTCTCATGTATATCTCCATCCTTTCCTCTACCCAGTGAGTCTGTCACTTATAAAAATCTACACACACACGTGCACACACACACACACACACACACATGCATGCACGTTCTACATCTGCAGCCCCCTATCTCCGCAAAAAGAGAAGTGCAGTTTCTTAACTCATCTCTGAATTCGAGCTAGCTCATTATAATTATGAGATGTATGCTTAATGTATAAATACTATTCTCTTCTTCTCTTTATACTGTTTTATTTTTTAACATTTTACTTTTCACAATATTTTGTTAAATATTAAACACATTATTTTATATAATTACACATAATTTTTATACATTTGTATAAGTCTTTATATGTTTATATTTACATATTTATGTTTATAATATATAAACAATAACATATTTACATATATATGTGTGTGTGTGTGTGTGTGTGTGTGTGTGTGTGTGTGTGTGTATGTATATAGATACTAAAATATTCTGAACAAATACCAGCAACCATAACTGTTTTCACATACAAAGAAGGCAAAACCTGAATCTCTGTCATATATAGCTTGGCCCTTTTTTTCTTTCAAGAATACAGTAAATTCAGCATATTGTTTCAAAGCTGTCCCACTTACCTGTTTTTTTTCCCTGAACTTTCTCTTTTCCTCTGTGCTTTTTAAAAAAATGTTTCATTAACATTCTTATTGTTTCCCACTTCTTAATAGAGAAATGATAGTTTAGAGTATGGAATAAGATGTATGTGTGTGTGTGTGTATAGATATATTAATTAATTTATTTTGATTTATCAACAATCACTTCCATATGCTTTTGAGTTTAAAATTTTTCTCCCCCTTCCTCCCCAAGACGGTATACAGTCCCATATAGACTTTACATTTACATTCCTATTAAACATATTTGCACATTAGTGAAGTTGTAAGTAAAACTTAAAACCAATAGGAGGAACCATTAGAAAGAGGAAACAAAACTCAACAGAAGAGAAAAATAAGTGATAGCGATTCGACTTCCGTAGTTCTTTCTTTGGATGTGAATAGCCTTTTCAGTCACGAGGCCTCTGGAGATGTCTTAGATCCTTGTATTGCTGAGGAGAGTTAAGTTTACCATTATTAGTCATCGCACAACGTGGCTGTTATTGTGTACAACATTCTCTTGGTTCTGCTCACTTCACTCAGCATCAGACCATACAAGTCTTTCCAGGTTTTTCTGAAGTCTGCCTGCTCATCATTTCTTATAGCACAATAGTATTCCATTACATTCATGTACCACAACTTGTTCAGCCATTCCCCAATTAATGGTCATCCCCTCAATTTCCAATTCTTTGCCACCACAGAAAGAGCTGCTATAAATATTTTTGTACCTGTGAGTCCTTTTCCCATTTGTATGATTTCTTTGGAATATAGCCCT